TATCTATACATCTTTATTAAATCAAACATATATATATATATATATATATATATATATATAATTTCGCAGTCAAGTTTTTGACATTGTTGCTGGAATTTAAATCTTCTAGTAGCGTCATCAAATTCTTGTAATTATTCATTTTCAAAAAAAGGTCGGTCAAGGGATCGCGGCGGAAAAAAGCTAGGGCGGAATTGAGGAATCGGTGGAGACGGGATCGAGCCAATCTCAGAATCAGCCGATGAGCCGACGGATCGTAGCAAATACGATCGTGGCAAAGCATATTGCAGTTTGACAGAGGAGCAGCAGATTTCCTTGGAATTCGACAAAGGTGAACGAAGATGTCGTAGAACTCAAACAAAGACAAGAACGAGCGCTCCTGTAGAGGAAGAGGACGAAGATGCCAGCGAAGATACCAAAAGTCAAGAATAAAAAGGATTCAGACTGATTCAAGCTCTGATACCATATCAAATTTTGAACAAATAGGCTGAATGCCTTTTCCTTTGCTTTCATTCCAATAAATATTAGTCTGTACAATCTATTTTAGGTATATAATATTATGTATAAACAATTTTAGGTAACTTAATTAATACATATGTCTAATCTAAATATTCAGCTAAATGGAAAGATTTCATGCAAATATAATATTTTCTTCTTGGCAGTATTGCGAAGAAGGAAACTCTTTATTTACTCATGATTGATACATACCACTTGACTTACCACTTGACTTGCCCTTTCAAAATCTGGTATGTGATATTTTGTGTTGAAGAATGACTTGAGAATTCCACGCTGCAATTTATATCCGACATCAACCAAATAAAACTTTCCTGCAAGATTCCTCTTTAAAAATTAGGCATGTTGTAAACATTCAAGAATGGCTTAAGAAATTCACATTGCAATGGATACCCAACATCAACAAACTAGTACTTTCGTGCAAAATTCTTCCGACATTAGGCATGTTGTAGACAAATTAATGAACATCATTGTCAACCAAACTTGTGGAGGATAGGAAATTCGAGCACATGTGATCAGGTGGTAAATTTGAATATCCGACTATCGTGTGTGTTACCCCACCTAACCATGACGAAGGAAAAACATATATTGAAGTTGCACGTTGCAATTATATTTTGTGTTGGTGCATCATACTGTTCAATGCATGTGATGTTTTTCAGTATTTGGCACACAAGCATCAACATGTGTCCCATTAATGATACCAATACAATCTTGCATCACATCTATATTATCCTATATTTCGTTGTATGTATGTTGTCGAGAAAATGAGTCTATATTAAACAAACCTTGAAGTATGACATATATCGATGATCACATGAAATTTGTCATGAATAGTTTGGAAAGTTGGATCTTTAGGTTTGATGATATCGTAGGACATGTGTACCAAAGCATTCAAGCCAATTGAGAAGTATGTAATGATGGTTTCATATGAGCGTTGAAATCTCTCACAACTTGCTCTTATAGATTGATTATGCGATAATCTTACTGCTAATACCCCCCGTGAACTCATTTTTGACGACCCATGTAGACCATAAGTATTGTGGAGCTCACTTAATAGATTCGTAAAGTTCAATTGACTCATGCAGAACATGTTATGAAATTTCGTCGGATGACCTAGCATTTCATCTATCCATTTGTCACTTGTGTAAGTTGAGGTCATGTATGGTGTCCGAGAGATTTATGAGCCATAATATAGGACCAACAGATGGACAGTCGTTGTAATAATTTTTCGGCAACACATCCTGTGGTCTCAGTTGGTAGAATCCATTGTTGAAAGAAGTAACAACATTACCGCATGACAATATATGATAACTAACAACTTTCAGAAATATAACACAACATAACAATGAAATAAGAGATGAATGACAACATCATACACAAACAACCGCATGTGGGACCCCCACAAAACAAAACAAAACTAGTGCAATAAATAACCGTTCTAACATAAAGTAAGAAAAAAATGTAGACGTCAACAAAATGTTCTCTGGACAATACTTTAACAACACAAGAAGCTCTTTTTGAACAATAAAATGTAATTATCAAACTATACTTGAGCAAAATCAGAACGATATAAATTAGTGATCATCATTTTCATAGAAGTAGCGAAGATTATAAAACCTTCACTTAGATGCCATAAATATAAATACTCGCTCTTGACGTGATCCTCAAGCAGTTTCATGGAGTGTAGATATAATGGAATATCCTCGTAAACTTCCGCAATTTGCTCTAAAATCTTCTTCACATTAGAGAAAAATGAAAAAGGTTTTGTAGCGTTAGACTCGAAAGAAAAATTAGTGCATGCCATGACCAATCAAATGTTCGGCTCCGTAGAAATGAGGGCTCAATCCTTTTGATTTGACTTTTTCTTGCTTTTAATGAGGGTTGCGTCCCAACTTGACCACCCGTTGCAACAACATTGCTAAACATAATAAGTTGCTCCTTTAGCTGTTCAATGTCACCATACCAAATTTTTTTAGCATTTGGCACAACCTGTTTAGAAGATAAAATTAATATTTTTCATTTTTTACATATACATGAAATAGAATTAGTAGTGATTTAGAAATTATTTCACATCTAGTTTCTCCTTCCACCAATCAGTTGATGCATCATCGGTGCTTTTAATCGGATCCAAACCGAGTTCGATAGAACCTTTTGAGTTCTTTCCAAAATTTTCAAATTTTTTTTAACTGGTCCCATTTGTTTTTTAATTGAGTTGTATCTTACAATCTTCCTTTTTTGTTGAAATTTTTTTGTAATATTTTGTCAACTTTCTTTACTGAAATGGGTGGTAGATCCGCTTCTTAATTCAATCTCTTTTAAATATAAGTTACAAATAATCATTTTTGCTTCTTTTTCCCACATGGCGGTGTTGTGCTATTTCTTGTGTTGCCCATATGTTAATGTATCTAATAAGTTGATATAGATTTTTAAATATTTGACAAATGAAAGAACATTCAAGAATTATATTATATTAAAATTTGCACAATTCTCCAAAGAGCAGGATAAATAGGATGACAATAGTTAAAAATAATAATTTTGTATATATGTGTGCATCTACCATTGTCAATTGAAAAAAAAATATATGATATATATCTCCTCTTTTTTATTTTGTTTTCCTGCTCCACTACACGATCAGGATTCGGTTCTAGGCTAATTTTGGTTTGGCCTCTACTATTTGGAATATTTTGATTAGTTTCAAACTACTCCTCTGCTATATTCTTGATGCCGAGGGCCCATTACTCTTGCTTCAAACTGTAAATTTGCTGCATTTATTTCTTATTTTATGCAATGACTTATGTTTGGTCTTTAGCTGGCTTTGGGTATCTCTTTTCCTTAGAAAAGTTTGGATACTCCAATATATTTACTGTTTCACGGTAACCTTATATTTTTATTTGAGCTATGGAATACCTTTGGATTTATGGAATAGGGAGTTTAATGCTGATTATCCAGAACTTTTTTTTGATGGTACTACTTTGCGAGGAGGAGCACTTTGGTTTAAAAGACGCTATCAACGAAATTTCTTCTACTACACTCTGGCTTAAGACGTCATCGATTACCGTTTTAGATGGTGCTGTGTGTAAAGAACTTTTATAGGAGCACTTTAAATGTTTGTTTTATTTCTTTCGAACAGATGAAATTTTTGGGTATTCTATACCTTATTGTTATTTTACTTTTTTGTGTGGAGTTGTAATGCGGATTGTGGAACCCCTAGGACTTATATTGTATTTTTTTTTGCTTTTAGACGTGTATCCGCTTTCCCTCCACACGTAGGGAGCCACGAGACACTCTTTTATTAATTAAAAGAATGGTCAGACGCTATAATAAGAGCCCCCAACTACCCTCATATGCCTAACCACTCAATCCCGCACTGCAAGGCGGATGTACTCATGCGGACTCAAACTCGTGATCCTAAGGGACTCACAACTTACAAAGCTGCTACTAACCAAAGAGTCTCGATGCTCGACACAAATAACACACACACACACAGATATATATATATATAACTGTGAAGCCGAAGCCCTCTGCAAAATTCCATGAATAAATAACCATCTTACTTCATCATTTTACATATAATGGATTTCTATGACAAAACCATCTGAACTCATTGTTTTATATATGTGCTATTTGTTTAGAAATTCATATGCGCGGCAAATTATCGGGCACCATCTGATCTCATTATTTCCATTCGTGTGAAGGAGTAATAGGCAAATTAGTAAAATTGCATGAGGTTCCCCTCAACAATTTCACAAACAACTTCACAAACAAAACCAAGTGATCTTATTATTTAAAATATGTTCAAATTCTGTATAAATTAATATGTGCGGCAAGTTTTCTACTAACACAAAAAATTTTCATTTGTGTGCACGAGATGGCGAAGGAAAAACAAGCAACCAAAGCGAAATGATTCCATTTTTTCATATATGCACATATTCTTTAGGATGTATAGCAACTTCTTAGACTAGCAAAATAACGAAAAAATTTACATTGGATTCCACTCAACAAGTTCATAAGCAAATAATAAATAAATAAATAAATAAACAACTATGTAACCATAAGCATTCGGATAGTGACGACAATTATATTTGTGCTTTGTTTGGGGGTTGGCATCCTCACTGAGAAAATATTGCATCCAGAGTCCGAACACAAGTAATATCCGGGCAACGAACGCGAGAGACTAGCAAATCATGATTTTATTTTTCTTCCGCTCCTCTGGTGAGTCATGTCAGTTGTCTAGATGTTACTTAAGTCCGAACTCCAAACATAATATTTTTACCCTTTCTTATGTGCTAATTTGAGAAGAGAGGGAGAAGAACATTAAACTTGTAGGAATACAAAATAAACAAGTTCGTTTTCCTGATGTGCATGGTTTGGACCGCACCATCTGAAGCGCACGAGCCAAACGATTTTAAACTACGTTTTGGTTTAAGCCATGGTTTAAAAAGCCAAAACAAACAGAGGCTTATAATGCTAAACAGTCGACGGCAGAGGAACAAAACCTCCCTAGGGTTTTGTTTTTCTTGGTTTACCCGGTTGCAGAATCGTCACCCTCGTCTGCATGAATCTCTCGCGATCACTAGGCGGATTCCTCTTTTCCTCCAGCCCTAAGAAATGGGATCTTATTAAATCCGTATCGTCCTTACGTTCTCTCACTTTCTCCACCGAGAGGGTAGCAAGAGTGTATCAGAAGAGCTCGAAACCTCCGGCTAAGGCCAATGTCGACATTCCAGTGGAATTAACGACTGCGAAAAATCCGCCGGAGCTGCCGCGGCCGAGCTTGATCCCCTTTCAGCCCAAAGTCGCTAACTCTGTCCACCTTGTGGGCACCATTGACACTCCTGTCAAGCTACACCAGCTTTCCGATGGATGTTACGCCTCTTTATCGATCGTTGTTAATGAGAACATGGAGATGCCCAAGTATACCTCGCGGTTTTGGTGAGCTCTTTTATCTTGACTCCCTACTTTTTTTTTTTTTTTTTCTTAAGTAGTGTGTGCAAACTTGCAGTTAAGACCTTATTGCTGAAAATTACAAATAATTTCCTTGATTTTGGCAATGCAAAGTTTGATGTAGGAATGGATTGGGTTGTTATCTAAAGAAGGCGTCTTCTTCTCTTTTCCCTGTCATAATAAATGGGCAGGGGGGGG